AGAATGTATACTAACAAACTAACAACCATTTTATAACAGAAAACGATAATATATACAACATTTATAAAGAATATACACAATCTTCTATACTACATTTTTTAAGATTTTATAATATTTTCGAAGAATAGAAAAAAAAATATAATAAATAATGTATTCTTGAAGAATTTGCCATCATTCTTGAAGAATATGTTTTTGTATTTATGGGTTTCCTGTGGACACATCAAATATCAATGCTAATGCTACATAAATACCTGAAAAACAAACAAGCAAATTAGTTAAAAAACATATCACTGGTTATTAAAAAATCATAATGAAAACATATAATTTTTCTTTATTTCATCCACTGTCTATATGGTTAATTTAAATAGTTTTGGTATTTACATTAATACCTTCAAAGTATTAGTCTCTACATATGGCTAAGAAAGTAATTCAACCAACAAAAAAAAAAACTGACACTTTATTCTGTGTAGATGTGAAAGAAAATTTGCTCATTACACATGCCTATCTGTTCCTTCGATATATCTTCTAAAAAAACAAATGAATTAAACCCCCCTATCCAATTTTTCATCAAATCCATGGAAAAACCATATAAATAAACAAGAGTACTCAAAAGAATTCTTTTACCAACATAATCGTATTAGTCTTGAAAAATTACATAAATCAAAATCATAATAGAAAAATTTACCTGATGTTTTGTTTTTAGCGATTCAAATACAAAAAATCAACAATAAAAATCAGAAAACACAAACTCAACAACTCAATTTTTTTATAAAGCAACAAATCGAAATGTTTTTTGGAAATCGGATAAAGAAATTACCAAATCGAAATGAGAAATCTGCAACTACATTTAAAAACTATCTTCCAGTGAGAACACTTCAAGAATGAAAAAGCTAAACATTTACTATAAATCTTTTTCAGGTAAATTTTCAGTAAGTTTGAAGTCAAGTGAATCATCTAAGCGCAAGCCGAACAGGAAAATGCCCTAAACTTCATAAGATGTGGTTATTTTTGTAATGCCCTAATCTTAAAAAAAAAAGATGAAGAGGAAGATGCCTGGTGAATATGGGTTTTATGAGCGAGAATGGCATAGCCCTAATTTCGTATTGATGAGTAATTACCTTAAAAAATCAGTTCCAATTGGTAGAAATTAGAAGTGTATGTGGCTGCCTAAGTGAGAAGAACATCATCATCTTCACTTCCGACCACCACCACCATCGTCAGCGGCAACTTTAATGCACCAGAACCACTGCAAATAAAATACATTCGTTGGTGCCTTCATTTCTTGCTACTGTCTTCCCTTTTTATCGTTCATCTTCTTTAATTTCTACTCACGAACGAACACCACACAAAAAGTGTGTGTATGTGTGTGGTTTTCCCTTGATCAGACTACCCATTGCATTCACCTATATGATTTGGTGAGGAATGTTGTGTAGGGTTCTAAATGAATGAACGATATACTAGTCCTACTTCTATAATTATTGGCAGTTAATTAATGTTATTTATTTAATTGATTACTAATTTACCGTTTTTGAAACGAGTGGTTTACAATTAGTCATACAATCACATAATATTTATACATTATACATGAACCTAACTCTCTCCCTCTCTCTCTCTCTCTCTCTCTATATATATATATATATATATATATATATATATATATATATATATATATATATATATATATATAGGGGAGAGTTCAATTGAGAAAAAAAAAGATTGAGAATGGAGGAATCATTCTCAGGCAATAATTTATTTTTGCCGCAAAAGCGTCCAACGTACCGGCGGAAATAGGAAAGGAATGCACATGTGTTTTCCAATAAAACATATTTCTTTAAACTATACTAATCATTACCTTAATATATACAAAAACATAATTTTTTTCGTTTTTGTTTTTGTTTTTTTTATTTTTAGAAGCTATTTTTATCAAAAAATGATTTTAAATTTACCAAAATTCATGATTTTTTATTCTCTACAAATAGACATCCATATTGATATAGTTTTAAGATAAAATAAATTTTTTTTTTTTTTTTTTTATATTTTCAGCTATCATTATTCATAATTGAATAAAAATGCATCATGTTTTATTACAGTACGTTCGTTATTCACTTATGAATAAAAAGTATGATTTTTTTTTTCTACAATTTAAGTATCATTCATATATGAATATATTATATAATAAACATAATATATTCATATTTTAATATTGGACAATGCATTCACTTGTGAATATTAACATATTATATTCACTTGTTAATATTAGGTGATATATTCACTTATGAGTATTAAATAATATTTCATATGTGAATATTACATAGTATTATATGGTATATCAAATGTGAATATTACATACGATATTCACTTGTGAATATTAGACGATATATTCACTTATGAATATTACATAGTATATTCACATATGAATATTACAAGGTATATTCACTTGTGAATATATTCACTTATGAATATTTGAAGGTATTTTGACAAATATATATAATTTTTATATGTTATTCACATATGAATAACATACAGACTTGCATATTTGTTTTGTGTTTTTAATAATCATATACTGATTCAGGTGAGAAAACATATTCATATGTGAATATAACGTAGTAATTTAGTTTATGCATTTCATCAAACAGTTGGAGTGCATACAAGTTAACTATTTTAAAAATGTTAAAAACATCAAGTTATCAATTCCAGATCATCATATACTTCCGATTTCGACATCCTATGTCTGATCGATTTCTTATTTTGATTTTGATTTTCGAAAATCCGATTGGTAACCTGTGAGTACCGATTTTGACTCCTTCAATGTCGACTGTGACTGCGAGTCCAGAACACCGATTCCAATTTCATGAACAGCGAAGAAATTCCAGTTTAGTTGAAGAAATCTGGATGCTTATTGAAGGTTGGAGGAAATTTTTTTGATGATGAACGAACTATTATCGATATGTATTTGAGATTGAATGTTATTAATATATTTACAAGTTTGCCACCATGTCTTTTTTTTGCTTAAATTAAATGAATGACTTAGAATGATTCCCCCATTCTCAACCTTTTTTATTTTCTCAATTGAACCCACCTATATATATATATATATATATATATATATATATATATATATATATATATATATATATATATATATATATATATATATATATATATATATAGGATGGTTCAATTGAGAAAAAAAAAGTTGAGAATGGGAGAATCATTCTCAGCCACTCATTTATTTTTGTCGCAAAAGTCTCCGACATACCAGCAGAAATGGGAAAGAAATAGACATGTGTTTTCCAACAAAACATGTTTCCTTAAACTATGCTAATCATTACCTTAATATATACAAAAACATAGTTTTTTCGTTTTTTTTTATTTTTAAAAAGCTATTTTTATCCAAAAATGATTTTAAGTATACCAAAATTCATGATTTTTTTATTCTCTACAAATAGACATCCATATTGATATAGTTTTAAGATAAAATAATTTTTTTTTATATATTTTCAGCTATCGTTATTCATAAGTGAATAAAAATAAATCAGGTTTTTACTAATGTACATTCGTTATTCAGTTATGAATAAAAACTATGATTAATTTTTTTTTTTTTTACAATTTAAGTATCATTCATATATGAATATAGCATATAATAAACATAGTATATTCATATTTAAATATTAGACGATGCATTCACTTATGAATGTTACATAATATATTCACTTGTGAATATTAGATGATATATTCACTTATGAATATTAGATAATATTTTCATATCTGAATATTACAGAGTATTACATGGTATATCACAAGTGAATATTACATAGTATATTCATTTGTGAATATTAGATGATATATTCACTTATGAATATTACACAGTATATTCACATATGAATATTACACAATATATTCACATATGAATATTACACAGTATATTCACATATGAATATTATAATGTATTTTCACAAATATATATAATTTTTATATGTTATTCACATATGAATAACATACAAACTTTCCTGTCAAATGATCCAACCAAACACACCATACATTTCTATCCAAACAAGATTAAACAATAGCAAACAAACATCCATGAAATCATTATCATCTGTTTTCTTTCCTGTCAAATGAAACAAACCAAACTCCCTTCGTTATCGTTGATTTCCAGTCAAACCCCTTTCTCCATCTGTTCATGATGAACACACCAAACCTGATCGAATCCTTTTCCCCCATCTTACTCACCCGTTGAACATCGATCAGCCAAACACCCACCTAACTGATTTACAATCAAAATAAAAGAAACGAGAAGAGGATCGTACCAATTGAATCAGTAACTGCCCCATCGAGATCCTTCAGCACTTCCCGTCGATTACCACAGCCAAAAGCCACCATCTTCTAAACTATTTATGTCGCTTAGAACCTTGGTTTCCCTTTATGCTTTGGCTCGTTGACCCACTAACACCGATGCCATCTTCCCTCGCCTCCCTCTCTCTTCATTTCTCGCTGGCAAGAAGCAAATGTGAGGCAGCGGACGTCCGACCTAATTTCCTAGCAAAACCAAACCCTAGCTTCTGGCTTCTTTCCGACCGCAATCTCCTAGCAAAACCAAACACCTCTTGGTCTAGTCAAAACCACGGAGACCATCTCGGCTTGCGAGTCGGGCGACGAACCTCCGTGCTTCTCCCCCTTAATCAGACGAAGACGAGCACCGGAGAATCTTCACCTTGGTCTCCTTTGCTGCAAATGATGAATGTGTTTGAACTAAAGATACGTATTTGATATTAAAGGTTGTTCTCATATTTACAAGTTTGTCACCGTGTCTTTTTATGCTTGAATAAAATGAGTGGCTGAGAATGATTCCCTGATTCTCAACATTTTTTATTTTCTCAATTGAACCCACATATATATATATATATATATATATATATATATATATATATATATATATATATATATATATATATATATATATATATATATATATATAATTCTCATAGTATACAAAGATCCCCTTTTTTACGCATAAACATAATAATATCAGTTCGGTCAAACAAAACCCTTTTGAAAAAATACAAAGACAATGGGTGCATTTCTGAAGCTAATCGACGTGATCCTGTTCATCGTCTTCCTTGTAATCGCAATTGCAGCTCCACTTCTCGATGCTCAAACATGTCTTCCTTCCAATATCTTCCCGGACATCCTGGTAAACCTCAAGACATGGTACACCCACCAATACGGAGATTACTTGGTCTCCGAAAAACCCCATTTCTTCGTTGGCCTTATTTGGCTCGAGCTTCTCTTCGCGTGGCCTCTAGCACTCGCTTCTCTCTACGGGATCGTTGCTGGGAAATATTGGTTGCGCACCACCTGTTTGTTGTATGGCGTCTCCACTTTGACTTCTATGGTATTCTTAACTTTCCCTTTCTTCGTTTTTTCCCCATTTACAATTTCGATCTAGCATAATGTAGTACGAAACTGAGATCTAATTGCTATATACCAAATCCATAAATTTTGAGGGTCCGTATGAACTTGAGGATAATGTTTAATTGTTTATAAATGTGATGTGAATCATGTGATTGTGAAAATGTAGATGAAGACACATCCATGATTGATGTTGTGGTTGCTGCATTTGATCATAAATCTTCATGATTATTCAAGGAAATCTAATTATCACCATGACACCTTGTTGCTGTTGATGTTTGAATCAAACTTCTTCCATTTAACCTAACATGAATCATTGCTTAGTTCACATTAACAACCTCTCCCACATGAATGAACCATAAAATGTAACAAATAGTAATAGAATTATTTGGTGTTCTTTTAGGTTGCAATATTATCAGAACTTGTGGGATCTGGAAAAGCATCAGAAAAGCTGTTGAAGATGTATTCTCCGTTTATGGGTTTTGCTGTTTTAGCCATCTTGCGAGGTTTGCTTCCACATTCTCGCAAGTCAAATGCAATTGGCACAAGACCCTCTTTGGTTAGGAAGAAAAGAGCTTGAAATGGTTTACCAAAATTTCCATTCGTATTTAAAGCCTTATGGTATTGTTGTAACTTGTAAACTTATCATGGGATTAAGATTATTATTTACACATTGTTTTTGACGCATTATGAGCCAAATAGTTTGTTTTTTGTATTTTGTTTCTCGCGTATGTATCGGTTTTAGATATTATATATGTAATTGGTATTGGTTAACGGATTTTGAAATTAGGTTCAAAAATTGTTTTTCATACCTTAACCTAAAAAAACCGATTTTTATATAGCGGAGAATCTTGTTTTCATCCATTATTTTTTCAAATTGTTATTGATACAAGGTATACGAGGTTTTTCAAAACCGGTTTTGACCCTTAAACAAATCCGGAATGACCCGAACAACACCTTATATCAAGTTATCACAAAGTAATGTTTTTTGATTATTGGGCCATTTCTTATCAACCATAAAAATCTCCTAAGTTTTGATAACCAAATCAAGTTTGGCAAATAAAGGTGAAAACTAAGAATTTTCAAATTGGTTTTTCTTAATTTCGTCTCAAACTGGTGTTGTTTTTGTTGAGAAAAAACCAAATCGAGCAACGAAGGGCAACGGAGATATTGTTTACAAATAGGGCAACCAAGACATGCCAAAAAGGGGGATAAAAATGACAAAGAAGACTTAATCTAGATTAAGAGCCTTTGATATACTCGATCCAGACCCATTCTTTGGAGTTCTATATTTCCTAAAATTAACTTTCACCACCCACTTTGACTTCCTATTTTCATCTTTGGATTTGATGCTTGTGGATTAGGTTGCGTTTAATAAGAACTTCCTTTTTTCCTTTTCTTTGTATCAAAGACCTATGCTTCTTCCTGCAAAGTAACATTTACTTAATTGGATAACAATAATTAGCTACTAGATGGATAAAATACATGTATATAAGAGATCATTCACTGTTAATATTCTAATTTAGAAAGGTTACTACAACATCGCTAATATCTCCTTAGATTTCTAACCTTCATCTCTAACAAACCTCCTAGATGTTAAATGAGATAAACAAAAACCATAATTAATAAGAGTCGTTGATTAAAATGGAGAAAATGTAAACACTTTCAACAAATTTACCATGAATGTGACTGTAGAATGATTAATTGGATTGCATCGTGTGTTAGCTTCTTCGGTAAGAACCTTAGTTTACCAATAAAGGAGCATGTAAATAGTTTTTCTGTTTACGTAAGAAAATGTTAAGAAGATGTTTGATTGTTCATCTAAAATAACTTTTTAACTTATTAACTTCTTGAAAAGTCAATAAGTTAAAAAAAAATTGTTTGGATACCTACTAAGGATTTTTAAAATAATTTTTTCTTTAGCTTTGAAATTGAGTTTTCAAGAAGTAACAATTTGTAACATCCGATTTTTAGGTATTTTCATTTTAGATCTTGGCCTATTTTAATTTTGCCCTATTGGTCCCTTGCTGCTAAAAGAAATGCACTTCAGCTCGTATGCTCGGAGTACATGAAGTACACACAACATACTTAGGGGGTGTTTGACTTAGCTTTTTAGAAGTCAAAAGTTCTTTTTGATAAAGTTGCAAAAAGTCAGTTTTTCTGACTTTTCCAAAAAGTCAGGTTTTCCTGACTTTTCCAAAAACTCCATTTTCCTTATATCAAAAATCCAAAAGTAGCTTTTAAAAGTGTTTTTACCAAACATCTTTTACCTTTTTTTTTTTTTTTTTTTTTCCTAAAAGGACTTTTGACCTCTTAAAAGCTAAACCAAACACCCCCTTATAAGAGACATGGATCGCGAAAGCCATGCTAGTACGTTGGGCGTACATGTGGTACACGGGGCGTACTAGCTCAGCCTTCAAACCCTAATATTAGGGGTTTGCTTTCTATTTAATCCACCTTATGCCTCCCTTGGACATTTCTTATCAGCATCCCTTCCCTCATAACCCTAATATCGAGTCTAAGCCTTGTGTGTGTGAAAAGTTTGAAGCTTATTAGTGATTTTGGTGCTCTTTTGTTGAAGAAGAGGGCTATTGAAGAAGGTGGTGTTGCTTGCAAGCATGTAGATCCAGAAACTACTCACTTTGTGTATCTTTTGAAGGTATAAAGTTTATCCCTTGATATGCTTATTTCTAGATCTCCATAGATGAGTTTTATACACTTTTGTCCCAAAGCTTGGACATTTGTGAGTATGGAGTACTCTAGAGCATATTAGTTGTCCTTTCATGTGTTTTAGATCTTTAAGATTCATAAAAATGGTCGCTTGATCATTTCCCTTGGCCCATGTATGAGTTAAGTGACTTAGAGTGTGATGGAAGTTAGAGTTTTGTGTATTGAGCCCTTTCTAGTCGTGAAAAGGCTTAAAGTCGGTGACTTTATGGGTTAAGACATTCTATAATGGCCATATCTGAAGTTGAGATAGGTGTCTTAACGGATTAAGACATAAAAGTTGTTAAGTATTGACCAGACATAGTACGTCGGGTGTACTCCTGGCTATGCCCTGCGTAGCCAGGCATGTTACCATTGGACACCGATTTGAGTTGTACGCCCCGCATAAGAAGAGGTCCGCCCAACATACGCGCCGAGCAGTTGACTTTTGCTGGCTTTTGATTTTTGGTCAAAATTTAGGGATTTGGACCATTGAAGGGGAAAAATGGTCTTTTTGCCCTTAAGGGGCTTTTTTTATGTAATTTGGACTTTTATGAGTTGAGTTGAGCACCTTAATTATCAATTAGGGTTAATTGTTTTGTTATTAGGCAGCGTCTAATTCCGGCAGTTTGGGTGTGAGATTTATCTGTCATCGGTATCAGCTGAGTCTCCTCACTTATTCTTACATGTGTGGTAGAATAGTTGTATTTGTGATGACCAGTTTGGTCTAACTATTATTATTGTGTTATGTTGTTTATGTGTGACTGAGACTGCAGATAGTCTCCAGGGTTGCTGATAACCCACCGGATGTGTTGTTTGCCTACTGGGACTGCTGATAGTCCCTAAGGTGCTGATAGCATATATTTGTTTATTGGGAGAATTTCATATATGCCCCTCTTAAACCTCAAAATATCATATTTGCTCAGCTTAATTTCTTAATATCATATTTACCCTTCATAAACCTTCAAAATATCATATTTGCCCAAATCTTTTTTTATAATGTTTTTAATATTGTATAATCATTTTTTATAACTTAAAATTACTATAATAATTAAAAAATTTAACGATATTATCCTTAGTTCTATGATAATGGAATGTGAACTTCTAAATTGTTGGAATGTCCTCTTCTTGACAAACAAAATATTCATCTTCAACCCTCTATATGGAATGTATATTTTGATTGTTTAGTTTTTTTTGTTGATTATGTTGTAGATGAAGGATATTTTAGATATTACCATTGATATTTTAATATTTAAAAAGTGCATATACGATATTTTGAGATTTAAGAAGGGCATATATGATATTATGATGTTTAAAAAGGACATATATGACATTTTGAAATTTTATGAATGGTAAATATGATGTTTAAAAATTTTATGAAGGGTAAATATGATATTTAGAAATTAAGTTGGGTAAATATGATATTTTGATGTTTAAGAAGGGCATATATGAAATTCTCCTTTGTTTATTTATGTTGTGTTTTATATGGTATATTGGAGAACTCACTAAGCTTCGTGTTTCGAGTTGTTGATATATGTGTTTCAGGTTTTTGAGGATCGTAGAAAAATGAATGTCTGGTTGTACACACTCGCTGAGAGATTTCTTACTGAGATATTTTGTGATACTCTGATATTCTGTGATAATGATTTGTATTTGACACTTATGTTTTGATGACTTGGTTTATGATCAATATTTTGGTAATTTATAAATGAAAAAATTGGTTTAAAATTTGAGGTATTATACGATTTATAACTTTTTTAAATAACTTATAACTTATTAGGATTAAAAAACAAACAAAAACAATTTTAAATCAAATATTTTTAAACTTATTAACTTTTGTCACTTAAAACTAATCCAAATACTTTTAAAAAAAACTCATTTTCTCATATCTTACATTTGGGAAAAATACTCTTTAAACGTGACTTCAGCTAGGTAAGAATGTTCACCAACAGGAACAAAAGGGAACAAAAAACAGGAACAAAAGGGATGTAATTGAAAAAAAAAATGATAAAAAAAAAAATATTAAATTATTCGCTTTTGTGAATTTACTGATTTACCCCTTTACACAAGGATGATGTTAAGTTGAAGGACAAGTTGACTCGATCGAATCACCCATCACTTTCAAAGATCCCTCTTTTACACTCACATCAGAACTCACAAGAAATCAGTCAACAAAATCTCTCAAAAGAGACAATGGGGGCATTTCTGAAGCTAATCGACGTCATCCTATTCATCGTCTTCCTTGTAATCGCAATCGGAGCTCCACTTCTCGATGCTCAAACCTGTCTTCCTTCTACTCTCTTCCCCGACATCCTCATAAATCTCAATACATGGTACACCCACCAATTTGGAGATTACTTGGTCTCTGAAAAACCCCATTTCTTCGTTGGCCTTATTTGGCTCGAGCTTCTCTTCGCGTGGCCCCTAGCAGTTGCCTCTCTCTATGGGATCGTTGCTGGGAAATCGTGGTTACGCATCACCTGTCTGTTGTATGGCGTCTCCACTTTGACTTCTATGGTATTCTAAACTTCCCTTTCTTCGTTTTTTCCACTTCAAATCCATGAAAGAAAATGGAAATTTACAATCTGGATCTAGCATCATTAGTAAGAACATGATCTGATACGAACAAATCCATAATGGTGAGGTATGGAGTTAGTGATGATGTTAATAAGTGTGATCCCATCACAATGTTTGTCATTTTATCAATGTCGATAATGATTTGATCCTTTCTTTTTTTCTTTCAGGTTGCAATATTATCAGAACTTATTGGATCAGGGAAAGCATCAGAAAAGCTATTGAAATTGTACTTCCCCTTCATGGGTTTTGCTGTTTTAGCCATCTTGCGAGGTTTTCTACCACCTTCTCCCAAGACAAATGCAATAAGCACAAAATCCGCATCAGCCAGAAAAAAGAGAGCTTGAATGGTTTAGTAACATGTTTGTGGCTTTTGTATCACTTAATTCGTTAAGAACCATTGCCTTTTAGTAACCTAGTTTGAGTTAATCTTTACAAGCCAGTGCTTATGATGTTGTAACAAGGGATTAAAATTATTATTTTCACATTGTTTTTT